CTTCCAGATCAACATACTGCTTGTTGTTGTTTCATTTTTTCTCTTCGTTGCTTTATCTCATCGCTCCGATACCAATGACGGCAACTAGACCTCTACCTTTCATTACTTGGATGATAGCTGTTCTACCCCACCGGTATTTTTCTAGGGTTTTTGCTATGCTTATGAATTTGGATTTAGACACACAACCTCACTTCGGACCGTAAGTCAAAAACTACACATGCCTCATTTTCCTGTCGTGATCTAGCTGGTCTCATAACTCTCCACTACCGTGCAGGAAACAGGTTTGTTTCCCAGGAGCACTACTTCCTTCACCAGTCGATAGTCAAGGTATTCAGGCATTTGGCTGGTCGCCAGTCCAAGTATACGAAGGTTCGGATGTCTTCGAACTTTATCTGACCCGTAGGAGACTGTTGGTGGTCGCCTGGGAGCGTAGCTTCGATCCCAAGTGCCGCTATACCATACCGAAGCCGTTGTTCTTTTCCTTTCGCGCTAAAATGTCCAAACTTTAAGTTTCTCTTTCTTATGTTTTCTACGTAAATAAATCCTTCCCTCATTACCACTAAAGCACTATTAACAAGCTACAAGCCGCACGGTCTTTGTTCGAATCTCAAGAAATTTAAGGAGTTGCTTGCTACCGGTGGTGAACCACTCAGCTGTTCTCTTGGTATGTGATGGCCGCGTGTACTAGGCCGAATGTGACGAACCTCCTCGCATTTCTACAACCCTCCTCTACCTTCTCAAACACTAATGCCTATTTTGATCTATAGCATCAGCAATCCCAAGGGGACGATCACGTATGCTGTTTCGCTGAGTCCTGAGTTGCCCGAGCTCCAGTATAGATTTTGGGGACTTACTTTGCGTTTAATCACACTAATCCCTTAACTCCTTACCCTCCATCCGACCGGGTATATGAATGACGACTTGGTAATCTCATATGTTGTCTATGTCCTCGCATTATATGGAACGTTATATCTACCTTGATGGCACACAGATTGCTATTACCAACACACTCAGAAGGAATTATGTGTGAGAGAGGGACTGAGGGCTCCATCGTCACACGCTAC